ACGCCGTTTGGCGGCCATTATCCAAGCTCGTGGTGGGCATACCCGCTATTGAGATTAATAATGAACTCTGAAGATGTTTCTTGACAATTTTCCCTAATTTCATATTAATTGTCAATCACAGTAAAAATTTATGTTTAATTTTTCACTTGGTACTGTTATGTAAATAAAGTACTTTTTTGGGGCCATGAGAAAAAAAAACCTAAATAAATTAACGCTTTTTTCACACTTGCATTGGTTGTTTCTCCTTGACTTAACCAATCCTCCAGCTTCACATATTTAACAATATAAACAGTATTAATTTGGTAATATCAATAATAATGAAAGAAACAGGGCGATATGCATCCCAAAATTCCGTGTACCAACCATTTTGGGCAAGAGTGTATTACAGGTACGTTTGCACCATTCTATTTATACGCCTCCGTTACACCTCCTATGTAAAAGAACGGTATTCTTCTAGGAAAATTAGTCCGTTTGTTTTTTCTTTGTTAGGTGCCTTTTGCCCTATATATACATGTTGATACTTGACCCAGCACTTGCGGCTATATGTAACTCCAGTCTGATAAATGACATGAGACCTTGGTTTCCTTTACTAGGTCTTCCTGTCACAACTCTCTATCCTTACCTGTACTTATAATATTGAACATTCCAGCCCTGTATATAACGCCTGCTGCTAACCCTAACCTGCACTAACCGTATGCGACGCATACTTCCATTCCTTGAACTACCACTTCTGTTAACTACCACTTCTGTCTCTGTCACTTCTGTTAACCCAACATGTACAAGTCATATAGGGGACCCAAGTTTTCATTTCCAGAACAACCATTTACTCTTAACCACCACGTTAATAAAATTTAATTGCATTACAGGGAGTGAATCACGTGTATGATGGCGACGAGGGGATATACAGCTACACCAACCTGAACGGTGATAAAGTGGTCCACTTCTACGACCTGGATGGGTCTGTGACCGGTGAGGTCATGGCGTCTGTGGTCAAGCCGCGTCAATTTTACACTACGGCTAACTGCTATAACAGGACGAACTGGAACATGGCGGTCTGCCCGGAGAGATATGGAAAAGTAATTTTGAGATATCTGAGATATCTCGTTTACTTTTTTTAATTTTTATTTATTTATTTATTTATTTATTTATTTATTGGCGCCTTTTTCGTCCGAGATTAATGTAGCGGTATAAAAGGATCACATTCTACGGTGCACAGGTATTTGTCATTTTTTAAACATAATGCTACAGGTAGCGCACGTTGCTGACTTGCCGACTCTGTTGAATAACTCCCGGGAAGATTTTGTACAATATAGGAAGAGACTAACTGCTGCCATTTTGTTTTGGAAAAGTGTGCCCCCCCCTCCTCCCCCCCCCCTCCAACCACCCCCGGGGATCTCCCCATGACTTATTCCTTATTCATCGTTGCAGATTCGAGTTAAAGAAAGGAAATACGGGGGCACCACGCTGAAAGATGACGTCTACATGATGAGGGACGACTTCCACGAGTTCAAGGAGTCCATGGATGGCACTAAGGTGGTCAGTTTTCTGATGATCGATAGATACAACTACACGATGCAGTTTGGAGGTCTGGCGCCAACTTTTTTGAAGATGGATCTAGACGGTTTTGACACGTAAGAGAAATGGTCTTGCACAGTGCGCGGCTTTTGAAATTGAAGTTAGCTTTATAACACTTAATTAGCTTTCATTTATTGTGAATGTACACGTCTACATGTATTCTCTTTTAATTATAATAGAGCTTTAGTTTATACTAGAAAAATATATGGGTTTTCGCCGTTAATTTTCATGTAATACAGTATATATGGATCGATATTGATGGTATACTTTTTTATTTTGAAAAAAAATTTGAGTGCAGCAGTGAACGTGTTCGGCTTGGGATATGCTTCCCGAAGGAATCAACAGGCTTCTCCGTTAAGTTAACTGGAATGGGTACTCATACAGTGGTGACTGACTACGACGTGTTTGAGCAGACTTCCCTCACCTCTCCCTTGGTGGCTTACTGGGATAGTTCCACAGGGTAAGACTGGGTTCCCATACCTATATCGATCTAGCAGGATCGATCCATCTCCGAGGGGTTTCCCGCTTAATTACCTTCAGCTTACTTACACGCATACTGAAGCTGGTCATGTTAGATCCGCGGATCTGTTAGTCCGCGGATCAAAGTTGTTTGTAAATGCGACCTATGATTCAATGTCAGTGTTTCCTCGCTATCATTACATGTACATCATGCGCACCACGACTTTATTACGTTGGTAACCAAGCTCTAAGTCAGGGAACGCAACTAACGTTTTTTTTTTTTTTTTTTTTTTTTTTTTTTTTTTTTTTTGTGTGTGTGTGAAACGAGGGCCTGGTGTATAACACTGAGTGAGCCCTCAAAACTAATGATGATATCTTCTCATGTTTCAGGTTGCTGTCCGTCATACTAACTGGTCGGTTTGCCAGGGCCGAGGGAGACTTTTACGTCTGCCCTAGAAAGAAGTGTTCTTTCCTGGAGATCTCGCGTACCGCGGTTGCAGGAGAGGGACCTGTTGACTGCCAGTCTGACGCTTACGTCACTGGCCCGTATGCCGCCGCCATGCCGGTAGGTCACTTCCCACTTAGAAGCCTCGTTTTGGAAATTCAGTCAATTGATTACTGAGTTAGAGGCATTTTACGCCCTCCAAATGAAATGCTTAGGATAAAGTATATTTCGTAGCTTATTTGAAATAAATAATTTTAAGTGACTGTGAAAGCAACGTACTCTGAAACACATACATGTAGGCAGTGATAAAGTTACAAAGTTACATGTACACAGCCGTTATATTTACCGACAATTCTCTACAGCATCATTTTTATTACTCAGGAGGCCGACTCAAGACAGTTTTTTTACAAGGACCTGAACTTTGGAACCACTCTCCCTACTTCTGTAAGCAAACTTCTCATAATTTACCGCTTATTGATGAGTTTTGTATATATTATGTTTGTAAGTGATTCAAGTCACAGTTTCGAGGCAGTAGGCTTCGTGTTCCTTATTTTGCAAAATCACCATATAAATACCAACAGGTTTAAATCGTGTATAGGCATATTTTACATGCATTTTTTAAGCACCGTATTTTTTTATTCTATTTTTATTTTATTTTATTAATTTTTATCTACTGCTTAATTTTTTATATTTATTCATTTTATTTATTTATTTATTTATTTATTTATTTATTTATTTATTGCACAACGCAGAACGTCTGGCTACATTTTAAATCATCATTTAGACAATCTAAAGTGAACACCCTTATTTCCACCTTTCAGTGGGGTGCTGGCGCTTCCAAGCCCTTCCCCAGCAGAACCAAGTAGACCATCAGGACCGCCCGACAAGATTCGAGGAAAAATTTAATCTGCAAGGAAGACGACTTGAGTTAATCTGTCCCACGGTAACTCATAAACTCGGATATGCCATGAGAATAAATGTACGAGTTTTGAAAACTCACATACTGATCCTAGCGACAACGCTTTAAATCTTGTTAAGACTTTTTTTCTTTTTCGTTTTCCTTCAAGGAACTATTTAGTAACCGCTGGTATGAACATTTCACTGTCACATATTAATGCATTGGAGACGATACCGGTGTAAAGCTTTAAGCTATCGTATAAGTAACACTGTGACCATGAGTTAAGTGGGTTGAGATGCCATTAAAGCATTTAGCTTTGATGATTTATACGAATGTACTGAGAACTGTAGTTTTATTAAAACATATATACATTTGCAAAGCAGAACAACCGTTCTTTGATTGGCGTCCTTATTCTAGGTACCCTATATAATGTAGCTATCCCTTTTCTCTCCCTTTCGTACGTTTGTACCCGAATTACATGTATACAAACACGAAACTCGTTGAGTGAAGTGGTTTACCGATATGACTTGGGTACGTCGGGAGCAGGGAAGCTTTTCCTCTTAAACCATCGCGAAACCCCCTTTTCTCGAATATTAAACAAATAGAAAAGAAATAAAAACAGATATGGTGTTATTGCAAAAGAGGAAAGTATAATATACAGGACACCAAATACAATGCAGACGGCGATGTTTTAAAGTTTAGCACTACTATCGCAATCGTTGTGTTTTGTTTACCAGGTAAATTCTGCAAGGCGATTGAAACTACTGTCATCGTTTTCCTTTATTGTCATCTTCCTTTGAAACATAAAAAAAATAGCAGGTTAAGTCGTATTTGTAAACGGAACTATGTTTTTATTTATTTATTTATTTACAGTAGAAAGAGATTGGATAAGAGAAAGAGGGAGAGAGAGAAGGGAGGGGTAGAAAGAGATTGTGTCAGTCAATAACAGAAAATGCCCTTATGAATGATTTTATTTCAAAGAGAGAGAGATCGACAGAGAGAGAGAGAGAGAGAGAGAGATTTTTTTTTTTTTTTTTTTTTTTTTTTGCATATCTCAAAAAAGTACAGATCTCAACAAAAAATACAAAATTGATAAATAACTAAATAAAAATCACACTCTCTCACTTACTCACTCAATCACAAAGAGACACTCAGTCGAGAGAAAAGAATTTGGTGTAATTACAAAAAGGAAAGTAAAGTAAGATACAAATAATTTATTTAGGACACCACATGCAATGCAGGCGGCGATGTTTCAATGTTATGCACAACTATCGCAACCGTTGTGTCTTGCAAGAAATTGGGAACTATTTCCGTTTTCCTCAATTGCCATTTTCCTTTGAAACGCGAAAAGCGTAAAAGCGTAGCACGGTATGTTGTAAACGACTTTATGATTTACAGTTGAGACAGATACGAGAGAGAGAGAGAGAGAGAGAGAGAGAGAGAGAGAGAGAGAGATTTTGTCATAAAACAATGTCTTTTATGGTTTATTTCATTTCAACGAGAGAGAGAGAGGGAAAAAAGAAAGGGATATTGTGCCAACAAAAAAGGTCCTTATGATTTATTTTGTTTCAGAGAGAGGGAGAGAGAGAGATTGTGTCAAAAACAAAAATAATCAAATTTATGAATTATTTTATTTCAAATATCACACTTTGTTAAGAGCATATTTACAAATATGGGAAATGGCACTTGCATTTGCTTGGGTGCTCCAGTATAACTCAACAGATTTACCGATTACGTGTAGGTTCTGTGCATTAGCCGTTAACAAAAACACTGAAAAACGTGCACTGCAACATACACGTTGGATTTTAACTCAGTGCAATATGTATATCTTCCTTGTTTTTGAACTTCTAAAATGAAGCCTGTGGATACCGAAAAGACCGAAGATGGTCGACAATTACATGTAGTGTCATATGGTATCACTTTGTGTTGAGAAAAAAAATAATAATTAAGCAACGTTAAAGTTATATCTTCATGAAAGCGCGTGCACAAAATTTTAATTTAAAATGAATTTTGTAAGAATTTTCTTCGGGCTTTAAACAAAACATGTCAAATTAACAGAAGATTGAATATCGACGCTTTGGTGCCTTAAGACGGGTCTTGTTTCTTTGCTGGCGTTTTAAGACACGTCATTTTTTTTTTCGGCAAATCTTTTGAATTCTTCACAGACACACTCTACAGAGTCGGGCCGGTTATCTAGTCTTGATGTAAATAAGAACCCTTTTATTGCATAAAGTCGTTTCTCCTGCCTGGCTCAGTAGGGGGCCTTTCCGTCGCGTTTTATCGTTGCGCAACTCCAACGCCACGCCAGTTCCCAGAATCACAGATGAGAGTCAGATATTGAGTTTACTTATTTCGCCGTCAGAATCCTTTTAAACTCTGAAATTAAGAAGGCACAATATTAATATTATGTTTACTTCAAAAAAGCCGTATTGGCATAATAGCAACAGTAGGTGGTCTACCAATAAGACATAGATATCTTTTAAAAGTGATATTCTTAAGTGACGTTGAAGTTAGGTGAAGTCAACGGGGACAGGAAAACTAGCAAGGAGGTTATTTTATATCAGGAAATTATATACATAAGGGATAGTAGGATGAATAGAGAAAGACTACCGAAAGAGGATGTGGGTTTCTTCAGACATTTTCAAGGTATTTTCGGGGTTTTTCATAGACTGCATTGTATTCATCACGATATGGTGCTGCTTGTAAGGTTTCGTCATCCGGCTTCACACGCTTATCACGAAATATTGACGTTATCTAATTAGATGAAGAATCAAGTGTCTTGTGCAGCATTATTTACCTGTAAAATTTACTGTGCCGTCACCGTCAACATCAGCTTCTTGGATCATTTCACGAACCTCAGCCTGGAATAACAAGAATAATGAGGATAAGTTTTAAGAATGAATTGACCTCTAATTTACACTGCATATCATTGAAAATATACATTTCTTTAGGTTGATGTCGAAAGATTTTTATGTTATTTAGGCTGTCGTTAATTGATATTCCCAAATGAAGCATCAGGACCAAAATACAGTCAGATAATTTTTCACCATTATAATGTCAATGCCGAATCTCTACATTCATAACAAATATGGCTTCAAATGCTAGTGACGTTTTAAGTAGTATTTCCACTCCCGAAATACATAGCACATATTTTACGAACGATATTCAGGACCGCGACTAGAATTTTGATTTAGGGTGTTTTCAAAAAAACTTGGACTTTTTGTATAATATAGGAGTTTTGAGACTATTTAGCTTTCCATCTAAGTTCTCAATCTAAAATTTAGTAACGAAAAATCGTTTTTATACTAGCCACGGTTAGTTAGTGCAGACGGAATATTGGTTTGATCCAAAATGACCGCCTACCCGGCAAGCCCTCGACCCGGCGAAATAGCTGCTATTGTTGCAAGACGTGCTGGCTTTTTCCCATCAGACATCCGGACTAAGTATTCTCAGTTGTATTTCTAGTTTCGCCATTTGTTTGCCATTAAACAGATTGCCCATATCATGAATGAAGCATTTATTACTCTCCGATATCGATTCAAGTGTGCAAAATTAACTCTGCTCTACATTTTCACCATGCTGCTGGCGTTTCAAGGCTGAAAACAGACGCTACAACGCTCGACTTAACAGTACACTTAACTCACCTTTGTTATGACTTCTCCTATTTTTGTTAAGACGTCGTAAAGTTCGTCTGCGTCTATGTGCCCGTCACCGTTTTGGTCGAAAACGTGAAACACGTCCAACAATTCTTTCTCCGGATCCCTGCTTTTGTTTTTTGACATCATACTTAAAAATTCGTCGAATTCTATCGTTCCGCTTCCTGTGGGAAGAAAAAGATGAAAAACAAATTATTAGATGGTTTGTAAAAATGATAGATTTTTAACGATAAATATATGGAAAGCAACCCTAAGCGGATTGTATTTTAATCTAGGCATCTGCATTATGTATCCCCCTGCGTCGTTAAGTACAGTCAGCATATTGCACGTCAGTAAACGCCAGCATGATTGTCTTGTGATCGTCTGCAGAATACCATTCCAAACCCAATGATACCGAGTGACGCATTTTGCCGTAATTTAATGGATCTAACGAAGAACATAGATATGAAAGCGGAATCTATTTTTGTCTTGCACCTTCAGTCTGGCATTTCATCATACCGTTGAGCTACGCGTATAGATGCAATAACGTTAAATAAGAAGATAAATATGTAATTGTGCTTGGGTAGGTTTATCGACGATTAAACAAAAGACAAGAAGATCGCTATAATTTCAGTTCTATGGTGCGTGGCGCGGTTTCCGATACGTTTTAACAATGTGAAAATCGTGACCGTTTTAGATACCTCGTGCGGAAATTCATAAAACAATGCACGGTGCGTGTTTAACTTCGTGTTTGATATTAAATGACTATTTATTTAATCACGACATTGCTTGATACACCATCGTTTCGTGGGCGTCAAGCAATAAACACACGCTCATGGTTGTTTCAGTGGATTGTATCAGCAAACCAAACTAAATATTGCCTGTAAAAAACTCGTTGACATGATCCTTTTGGCTTAATATTCAACCTAACAACTAACCTAACAATTTTTTAAATATATATCTTAATAAATGTTTTAATGGGAAAACCGAGAACAAATAACCCCCACCGATAACGCTTCGAGCCACGCGCACGCGCACGTTTTTCTTTGTCTCAGCACTTTCGCCAGAACATACCTGGTTTAAGGCACTGCCGCTCTCTCCAGCATTTAAAACTAAACTGTCCATGTATCGGCATGATTGTCGCTGAGGTCATCATAACGCACTCCATTTCTCCAGATGTATTTAATGTCAATGTACTAGTACTTGGTAAATATCTTGCCTCCACTTGAAGCGCCACAGAGAAAATGTGACAATGTCTAAAAGCGACTAAGTCCACTACGTCCAATGTGTAGCTTAACAGTAACTGAACGCCTAAGCTGCAACTAAAAGTTCCTGGTTCTGATCAGTGGCAACTGTGATCTGAGGGAGACTGACTGGGCAGGAGTTTATATACCGTAGGAAGCATGCGCAGAAGGAGGAGATAGCTGTCTGTAAATATTCAGAGAGGCAGCCTCGCTGCTTGTGTATTCAGTGGCAAAGACGGAAGGCTTGCCTTCTGATTATTGGCTCCGATGCTGTGCAATTGACGTAGGCGTCTCGCGAGACTCCTGACAGAACCATGGTTACACGATAATCGACTTGCTCAAATCACTTTCCGTCGTACACCGCAATACTGCAAATTAATGTCACCAGATAATTTGATTTTGACATCGGCGTGATTGTCATCCAGGTTCCAGGCCACTGCCACTGGAGAGACTGCAAGAACACTTGTAGACATTACCCGAAGGTTTGCCTCGGGAGGAAAAACTCTCAAAAGGATAAGAGAACTTCATCTTAAAGAGACTTTTAGCAGAGAATCTGATCGGAAATGTGTCGTCTCCTTCTGAGAAGAGACTGTCTGCGTATATAACACGTATAAACAGAAACCGCAACAATATATGTACAGTTTCTAAAGATACAATTTGTGCCAAGTAAGTATAGCCAAACAATCTCATTCTCCTTGCTGTTTTGACCTATGCGGATTCCAATTAACAGATACAGAAATAAACACAGTGACTGTTTGTTAATTATACACACTCAGCTGTTTGTTTATTGAACACAACCCACTATACTCGTGGCCTTGGTCCCCACAAGTGCAAGCAATGTTATCTGGATTAAGATTGTCAACAAAACCATTGGGCTTGATTAGAAATCAGGTCGGGCATACATGATTATTATGTCCTCCCATGCTGTTAATTGCAAACAGATCTCTTGGAAGTAAAAAAAAAAACAGAAAGATGATACACGTACGTAAGGAACATCCCTGTAGTCAAAGGTGAACCCCCCCCCCCTCAACTATTTCAACCGTCAATCATAAGAGCAAGAAACCCGGTCGCAGATTTCTTTTTGAAAAGTTAACCCCCCCCCCTCCTCCCAGTAAAAACTGGCATTGTACGTACTGCCCGATTAGTGCAAAGCATCGAGATACTTGAGACATTTTACATGACTGCGTCCCACCACAAAGACATCGTATAAACTTTACGTATACGTAACGCCGCAGAGCAGTGGCAGTCCAAAAAATCTTCGTAAGGGGATGACGACTAAGAAATATAGACAAAAAACTAATAAAATTATGAGACGATAGAGAAAAAAGGAATAAAATGTCAAAACATGTCACATTTTCACCTACTTTAGTCTATTGTGCAAGACTAAATGTAATTGATTTTAACGCCTTTCAGTCTCTGTTGTGAAATGTTCGTTTTCCGATTTAGTCATCGATTTTTATTCTTGTATATTTGAATAGCTAAACATGTCTTAAAATGCTTGCATTCTTCTTTTGAATTTTGTAAACCAATTATTTGTATTGGTATACATTATAAGGGATACCTGTTTCCTTGTTAATGTGCTATTAATCAATTCCCTTTTAGTTGCTGATCATGATATAAAACCATATACAAGACAACAAAATAAATTCGTAATATTCCCAAATAAGTAATGTAATAGAGTAAGATAAACGCTCCACGACGGCCAATCTACAGGGAGTTTCAGGGACTCTTTCTTCCCTTGGTTTGGGTTGTAAGAAATGACAGGGCGTCTTTGTGCGGGTCAATTACCCTAAAGACCTACATGTATGGAACTTCTTGTGCAACAAGATATTTTCGTTTGTGGAAAAACAATTAAATTGGGGGGAAACAGGAAACGGGAAATACGTCACAGAGATTATATAATTGTGGCTTTTCCATTGGACACCATTGTGGTGATTTTGTTTTTCACCCAATTGGTACTAGCCGAAATGCGTCCAAGGTGGGTAAAATCTCGATTTCTTTATGGTGTTTGCGAGGTTGTACAACCACGAGGTCTATCTCCTGGTTTCACGTCGCGACAGCAAGTAGAACGAACCGCAGCAAATATTGAACTGACGGGACATTTCCAGCTAATAAAAAAAATTTACCACAAACATGATTCGTCGTCAAAACGGTAGGTTGAGTCATTTATTTCTGGATCGACAACATACGGGTATTAAGTAACAAGCAGTGGCAAGCATTTTCGCTTTCTAGCCCAAACAATCATTGAAGGCCACTTTCTTGTAGAGACGAAAAAACAATCAAACCTTGAAACAAAATTGCTCAAAGCCAGCAAATCATTGGTTCTATGATGCTAGTTTTGCTCAATTTTCTTCCATTTTCTACAGAGCTAATCGACTATAAAGGTTTTCCTGTCTGTTGCGGTTAACCACACCTAGCCGTGATATTTGACGACAGGAAGAACTATAATGAATAAAATTACAGAAATCAAGCCCCAGAAAACACGAAACATCCACCAAGAAACAATATTTTCTTCAAATGCAATTTTCGCGATCTTTTTAAATGTTTGTTCATCATCAAGCTGCAGAACTCGACTGCTCATAATAAGAACATTGGGGTGACCTTGGGAAAAATCACAACGATTTCATAGTTATTAATTGGGAGATATGTGTAATTTAACCAATTTTCTAAAAAACACAAATAATAACCGACCTTGTTCAACTGTTAACATTATCAACGATGGCAAACCACAAAAACACGAAAAGAGCCCAGGAAATAAATGCAAGATTTGAGAATATGATTAGACTTCTTGAATTGGATAAAGACTGATAGGAATGATCCTTAAATTTAATTCACTTTTAAATTCTGTACAACACAGGAGAGGGTGGAGTACACACAGACTGTGTAACATATTTGAATTTCAAGTGACTTAACCAGTCCAGCCCAGCCCTAAACTCCGTAATTTTGCGATATTTTGCGTTATTTTGATTTGAAGAATTTGAAGTTAGGCGGTTGAAGTTGGTTTTTCATACCTTTGCTGTAACGAAAACTCTGATAGAGAGAGACAACAAGAGAGAGAAATATGGAGAATGGTTTATCTAGCTGAGAGCAGGTCAATGTGATCTAGCTGTAAAGCCGTCGCCATGACGCGGCCAGATGAAGTGTTTGGCAAATAATCTTTGTGGTTACCGTCAATTTTATAAGAATTGCTAGACAGCATTGACATCAGAGTGTGTGCTACTTACAAGTCATGATTTCAATTCAAGGACATTTCCTTCAAAACAACCGCAGAGGCATACTGGAGTAAAAGCATCCACGGCAAGCAATCTTGATCAAGACAACCTTTCCAAGGTGTCGTCTGCTCACAATGAACATCCTAAATGTCTAAATTGACTAAAATTACACCAACATTTCAGATAAGATGATTTCTATCTATTAACGATTTTGTTTTGATTGCTTTGGCCTGGTCTGGCACGGCACTACACTAAAATAGTTGGTTTCCTGTTCAAGGAATAAATATGAAAAAGATAAGATTATCTGTACGGTGCCTTAGTGCAGAGCGTGCCCACTTTGAGTGGGCAACAACGGGGTGGTTTCTTTTTTACTACTTGAGTGAACATTTTGAATTAATTGTAAAAACAATAACCACAACTAGCTATTTTATCTGTGCAATAACAATATAAACCCACGCTTGCCGGGCATAACTTATTTTCGGTTCTAGCTCTTAAGCCGAAAGTGTGATCTTTGCCTAGAGGTCATTATAACAACTGAAAGCAAACTTTAGACGCCTTCTCGTGACATTGGATGTTTTCTTTTTCAAAAAAAAAAACATTTGCATGAAGTGATCACGCGCAGGTAGCTGACTCTGAGACTTGCTTCTCCTGTTATATTTGTATTTGTCGAGATAAAAAGGACGACACTGTCACGAAGACAATAAATCTGATCCATCATGAAGAGGGATATCGTCTTCCATCCTGACAGGACAAGCATGCTACTTGTCATCTTTAATATCCAAAGTGCTATAGCCTGTACAAATGTCACGGAATTCTTTTACAAAGTGTTGATCATGAAACATGTCGCCAGAGAGCGATTCTATAAATAAGTCTGCGTTCAATTGTTCCCCCACCTTGAGCAAATAACCCCCAAATCGTTTTCAAATTGAGATTGTGCACCTTTCCATTCAACAAATCGGTTTACTTCTTTTAAGTCCAATGTCATTAATGTCGCAATAGTTTTTAAAGAACCCGGACGCTACAGCCATTTGGGGTTCTCAGTTGATTTAATCTCGCAGGTTGATGGAAATTATTCGTTTATTGTCTTCGTTATTTCTTTTATTTCTTTATTTTATTTATTTCTTTATTTATTTTTTACATTTGTATTGAAAAACAAAACATCATAGGAGAGGCAAACTTATATCTAAAAGAAACGACGGAGTGAGGGAGCGAAGAAGGGATGAGGGAAGGAGAGATACAGAATAGAGTATGAGTATTCCATGCCATTAAGTCAAAAACAAAATCTGGGTCTAACGGGAAGCTTTTACCAAAACTCTGGATATCCAGGGAATCATTGAATCACTAAACCACATCCCCGTAAGGTTCTTATTAATGCAGCACATTTGATTGTCTGATAAATTAAAGCTATGTTATGAGTCAATACAGTCGGAGAATGGGGGAGGGGGGTGAGAGACAGATTCCTGAAACTTCCGTCTCTGGCATTGCCTTCACGAGTCCCAGGTATCTTGAACACATGTAAAGTGGACAGAACACATGACAATAACGCACTGATGGAGTTCTACACTGTATCAGGTCTTGAGTAGTAACTATTAGGAAAAACTTGCCAAAATTTCTGATACATGTACTAGTCTCTGCATAAACTGGTCTTAAATTAAGAAAGAATTAAGTGGCAAATTAGGAGCCGTGAAATGGAGGAAGTGCTATCACACTGCTTAACCATCTACTACTGTTATATGTGCGTTTGTAAATCTTCTCAAATCACAGGCTTTGGTTTAACGGGTTCTTGGTACGCGTACATACGCAAGGCATTTCAAGTCCGAATACGTGTGTGAGTGTGTGTGTGTGAGAGAGAGAGAGAGAGAGAGAGAGAGGGAGGGAGAGAGAGAGAGAAAGAAAGAGAGAGAGAGAGAGAGAGAGAGAAAGAGAGAGAGAGCGTACCATATTATCTCAACTTATCCCACCTTCAAACCGCCTACAAGTGCTTACCAG